CTGATGCACCACATCTCTACTTAACCGTCTCAAACACGACTATGTAACACATTCCCTCTATTGAGAACACAGCCAAGAGCCAATAGAGAAAGAAAAAAGACTGTATTAAAAAAATGGGAAGAGTTACACTGGATGAATGCATGTGCATAAAATTAAATTTCTTTGGTAACTCAAAAATCTTAAATTACTCAATGCTTAACTCACTTCAACATTAGACTTAAGAATTATTTTGCTATGCTTTATGCACCAAAAACATTTTCTATATACATAAAAATGTTATTTTAAAATGGAGCCTATATTTTCTTCTAATGCATTCAGTCACATTTACCAATACAACCAAGATAAGCAAGTTTAAGTTCAGTGTGAGGCGAGATAGTTGGGAATGGCTTCACCCATGTGGAAATAATTGCTTTCCTGGCCTAAAGCTCTTCCCATTAGGATCAAAACAAAATGATGTTATCTTAAGAACCCTTCCAATATTTGAAAAATAAAACCTAAGTGTTCCACAGTTAGGCAGAATTCTCTAGATATTGTTTGTTTTGTTTGAGAATATAATTATGGCACATTTGTTTTTGTATTTAAATCAAAAGCAGAGTTACTAGCATGAGGAAAATAAGGGTATTTCAAAAGAAACAGATCTCACTCTAGAAAAGCACAAACAAGGCCACCAAACTTAAAGATTATGATCTAATATTTTTAACCTGTCAGATTAGCCTTTAGTCTTGTCTGCACTAAAAATGTCCAAATAAACTATGTTTATTCACCACAAATATATAACCTGATGAGCTAGGTAAAGCAGATTTAATGACAACAGCAACATATTCCAAAAAGAATAAACTATAAATTCTGAAGCTCAGTGTTCTGTGATATAGTTCTGGCAAGGAGTGTAACTTTTCCAAGCACCTGCCAAAATATAACATGTGTTTCAATTCATGGATTAGAGAAATTTAAAAAGGTCTCAAGATGTTACTTAGCCCAATTTGCCTCTAACTATTCAATAGCATTCACTGGATGGCTAAGTATTAGATCTTTTTTAAATGGACAACATAGCAATCCTGCATCCTCCTTGGAAGACTCAATATTTCATAATCCTAAAGTAATAAGCAGTAGTTCAGTTATCTCACACTTTGTGTTCTGCGATCAAAACTCATTTCTTCACACCACGCTGGAGATAGGTATGGTACTTTCCTGTATGTGTTTTGTTATAGATACTCCCCAGGCTTCAGTCTTTCTCCTTTCTCTCTCTTTCATATTTAATTCTCTTCTTTCTCTGGATTCTATCCATTTTCCCTAACTCTTTTTTTTTAAGTTATGCCCAAGCATAACTTAAAAAGCATACAATTTGGAAATCATGTGGGCTTAGTGTTGAGAACGAACACAATTGAAAAAGTTATTCTTGAAAGTTCCAAATTCACCAGGTTTCTTTTTCTCCCTGTCGATGACCTGGGAATGTGGGAACTAGTTAATAGAGCTAACAAAGAGTACATTTCAAGGGCAATGGAGATGTATAAGTGTTCTGCTAAAATACAATATATAAAATCAAGTAACTTAGTGCAGAAGCGAGCATCTCAATTTCTTTGAAAATATAAGACGATTTTAGTCTGCTGTTCTAGGTTGTCAATGTCTGACCAGTTCCAATGGGCCTTTGCCCAACTAAGAACTAGTAATAGTTTAACCTTGATTCTTACGTTTGCACATGTCAGTTTTTCTAATATTGTATTTCCCCCTGCTGTGCTTATCCTGCTTATAATAACAGGAACCTAATCAGCTGAATTTGTTTAAGTAGTATCTAGCAAGTTTGAAACTAAACATATACTCTGTATATTACTAAAACATCAGACAGCAAAAGGCAATAACAATATATACTAGCCTAAATAATTGTACAAGTGATAAAAGTAACAAAAGTATTTACTAATATAGTTAATCAAAAATATCTAGATCTTGTCTACTTTTATTACCAGCTCTCAGTTCACACACATACCACAATCAAAAGCCTCTAATATTCATCCTAACATAGAAAATAATTCATCATATTAAATAAAATTAAAAAGTGATCATCTAAGGGAGCCCTGGTAGTGTGGTGGGCTGTGTCAGGTCCCTAACCCATTAGCTGGTGGTTGAAACCAACCAGGTGTTCCACAGGAGGAAACTGAGACTGTCTACCCTGAAATATTGAGAGTCTCAGAAAAACCCAGAGGGGGTCACTAAAAGTCAGCACTGCCTCAGTGGTATGGAGTTCTGACCTTTGAGAGCTTGTGTTATCATTTAGTATAAGCTTAGTTATACCAGACATTGTGCTAGCTGTCTTCATCAAATTATTCCATTGTATTTCTTATAGAGCAATCCATTATTCTAATAATATGTACAATAAAATGTAGAAATTTGTTTCTACATTTCTTCTGCAAAAATGCATTTCTACAGAAGATGACACTGAATGGCAATGTCCTAAGAGGCAGGTTACCGACTCAACCACTAAGCTATTACAGGCTTCCTGAAGGCAGACACTAACCACCCGGGTTTTATCTGCCATGAAATGTCTAACGCCTAATAATAATGCCTGTTGTTGCCGTCGTTGGGTGATGTTGAGTTGATTTCAACTCACAGACATCCCCTTGGTTACAATATTTATGGAAGCAAATTATCAGATCTTTCTTCTGCAGTACCCCTGAGTGTGTTCAACTAAATTTTCAGTTGACAATTGATAGGAAGAGATGGGAATAGATACAAGATCTTAATTCAATCCCACATGTCATATTTGTTCATTTCACTGGAATTTGCAAGTAACTTCTAATGACATTCTACTAGGCAGAGGGTCTGAGGGATCTCACTATTTGAACAATTGACCCTTTTCTTCTTTAGACTTACTTTTCCTGTGAAGTAGTATTAGAAGCGAAACAGTGAAAATAATAAAATACTTTTAAAAGGTGCAATTTTTAAAATATAAGCATATACAACAACTCCTGGAATATAATAAAATGGCATTGCCTCGTACATGTAGAAACCTCCAAGGTGTATGCTTTGATGTGCATATTCTCAACAAAATAAAATTAAAATGTGTTTTAAAACAGACTTATAATAGTGGCTAAGGATTAAAATCAATGGATGTTATGCATGTATCTATGTATGTAAAATTTAAATACTGGTATCCCAAAGTAGATAAGGTCATTAGAGGTAGAACCCCAGCAACTATACTTTTTACTGAGTTCCATAGGCTACTCGGATGTGCAGCCCACAGTTAAAAATTATGACTTTAAAAACTTAAGTAGAGAGAGTATACAATGCTGCCTGTTAGTAGAAAGTGTTAAAGCTATTCAGAATCTTAGACATCATCTTAATCAACACAAATCCTAAAATGGAAATGAGAAGTTCTGAGAAGTTAAATTTTCCAAGGTCAGATGGGTGGTAAAATAAAGAACAGAGCTCAAGTGAGAGAAACAAGTTTTCTTTCCACCACATAGCCTCGTTTTAGAGAGTAGGGGTAAGAAAGTGCTTAAGCCCTGTGCCACATCACACCACGTTGGTACTCTGGAGCAAGCTTCAATAATTGGAGAAACAGATCAAGAGACAGATGCCTTCTCTATTTCCTCTCCAGTAAGTAAAATATGCATATCCATTATGTGCTGTGATGCTCAGAAGATTCCTTATCTATAATTCTCTTAGATACATTTTCCCAACCCACACTACAAAATATACAGTTTAAAGATTGACCCTCTTCCCCCATTTGAAAATAAGTAATTACTGAAATCTGAAATCCATGTTGAGCACTTTAGGCAGATAAATATGACTGGCCATATTAATAGAAATAATTTCTCAAGTAGCACCAAAGATTTCAGTTTGTTACAATTACGAAGAAAGAGATTAAGTCTTTCTTCAGAGACAAAATATATTTCACAAACTAATGCTTAAGTAATTTTCCAGTAAAAATTAAACAAACACCTAAAGGTCATATACTTTCCAAATGATTGAACAGTTAAAATTACTTAACTGCTAAAGAAACACAGATGAAAAGTAATTCAGGGAAGCCTAGTAAATAAATATATTAAGCAATCACATTTATCATCACATAGTAGTACAAGTGCCCTAAGTATGTAAATTACTGAATTGTAAATATTATATTAAATAGCATCGGGCTAAATCTCAAAATAGTAAGTATTATATATTTTTTTCAAGGGGTATTTGATAACAGAATAGAAAAAGGAACATGACAACATAATATGTATGAGTTCAACTTAATTATGTGATGAAATAAAGAAAATGCAGACAGAGTAGTGATCAGGTAGGAAATAATTTCAGAGTAAATATTATTTCAGATGGTAGTAAAAAATTTTTTTTAAGAATTGGCAGAGCACTTAGAAACATTAAAGCTTAGAATCTGCTTTTAATTGTGGCACAGCTTAAAAAAAGATCAAACAAAAATTCATTTCTTCCTCTCCTCCCGCTCTGCCTATGGCAAATTGCAACATTTCAAATTATTTTATGCTAGGAAGTTAGTATTAGATATGTATAACAGAATAGGAAAAAAGAAATCTTCCTTTCTTTAAAGATTTATATGTACAGAAGTTATTAGTAAATTAAAATATCTTTAAAAAATAATCTAAATTAAAAGGCTCAGCAAGTTATTTTCAACTTAATAATTGATTCCATTTGACTATGAATTAAAGCAGATTGAAATATCAGGTACACCCAGTATTACTGTAAATTATTTATCAATTGTAACATAACCAAAATCAGTTGTCATGGAGCTGACTCTGTACATCAAAGTAAAATAATGCTCCATAAGATTTCTAATTTTTCTGATTTTTCCAAATCAGATAAGCAGGTCTTCTTTTGAGGCACACGTGAGTGAACTTGAACCAGCAAGCATTGTTCATAGCCAAGTATATTAATTATTTCCACAAGTAAAGGGTTTCTTGTCACATAAAGCATCATAAAATTCTCTTTCATATTCTTTAAATAAAAAATATTAAAAACTAATATTTATATCAAAACGCTCTTCTTACTTCTCCATTTCTTAACGTTGTGATGGTTCCTCTTGCTACACCCATTCTAAAGAGTGTTTCAGTAGCCTGTGAATAAAAAATACATCGTTTATCATTTGTAATCAACTATATTTCACCCTCAATGTATTAAAATATCCATTGTTATTAGACTATAAGAAACTTCTAAAAAAGCAACAGGATACAGGAAGACCTAGAAGTTCAAAATGATACTACAGAAGCATTTTCAGAATCATTTACCGTTATCAAGAGTTAAAACCAAATTGCTTCAAAAGGTCATTCTGATGTGTCAGCATGCTTCCAGGTCTACACTTTCAAACTATAGTTTAAATCTTGGTTAAGTTCAAATTTTAATATGATGAACAAAAACAAAACAAAAATGAATTACTTGAATTTGTTTCAGAACTGATCATTTGTTCTAATTTGTATTTTCCACTGAAGTTCAATTTAAGTTACCTATCTGCTACAGAAATACAAAGAGAAGATGATATAATTCATGAGGTCATATATTAAATAACACTCTAAAAATATTATTGCTGTTTCCAGTGCTACCCATCTTGCAACTGCCAAGAAATTCAGACCTTAGTAAAAGCATGGCTCAGTGTTGTATCCAAAGAATACGTAGTGAACCAACAATTGGCCCAGTGTCTAAGTGTGTAACACAGAAAATGAAAGAACGATGAAGTGCAGATTTAGCATGTGTTCAGGTACACATTTCTGAAGCACTTTCAAGGGCACACTGAAGGGCTTAGGAAATAAATAAAACAAACCTCTTAAGATGCAGATTTAAGGAGTCTACATTTTTGGAGAAGGTAGACATATATACATAAATAATAAGCCACAGTATTATGAATAAAATGAAACAAGGTTAAGCATTTAAAGTATAACCAAGAGGAAGAGGTATTTTTAAGTAAAGTATTTTACACTAAGAATGACTAATTTT